CAAGAAGGCTCATTTGTACATCATTCTAGACAGAAATAAATATTCTCCTTGGATCCGCCCTTGACTCTCAATGGTAGTTATGTGAGTAGGGAGTGTGTGAAAATGTTTGGCCCTGTTTTTACTGGACCTTACTGGATCGACCTTCGAAGAGAATGTTCTCTTGTCATCCAGGAACAGACACGTTTTGATCATGTTAGAGTTGAAATCTCAAATCGTTTAGCTGATTTTGAAGCGGAGGGCTCAGCGCGAGGACGATTTATAATTTATAACGAGTTGGATTCAAATTGCCGTGACTAATGTGGATAATGAATTGCCCACTAATCGGATAATTCGTGCGAGCGCTTGCGACCAAATAGATATTGCACTAATTTCATTGCTCAGCTATCTCCAGCATGACATATATCATCCGGAATATCGTATTTTCCCTTGTTATTGCATCGGTTAAGAAACAGAGCTTCCAGAATTATCAAGGCAATCGACCACCTTGGAGGTGATACGACGTCAAGTTTGTCATAAAACATTCATGTTTTCAGAGGATTTGGCTTCTCTGCCATTGTAGTTGCCTCTGGGAATTTGCATAAAAACCTCGGTCTTTGGCGAATCCCGCTTTCGTACAGTTTTCGGATGTCAATTAAGAATTGCTATTGCAAATGGACCAAAAATAAGGGGAATGTTAGTGCACGACAAGGCATGTGTGTGACAATCAGAAGGAACTAATGAAAACCAACATTTTATTACGACTGAGTCAAGATCAGCCGGATGAGATATCGAAGTTTTATTAATTACATAACAGTCAAATATTAGGCTTTACGACCATGTGTAAGACGATAAGGCTTCAAAAGTTTGTTTTCATTTATCTTTAACGACATCTTTCCAGTGCCGAGAAAGAACAAGCCCGATATTTTCACAGATTTGAATTTCGTGTGGGACGTTAAACTCTTGTTGGGACACTGTTTACGGCTTCCGAATTATTTTCTCTTTCTTCTCTATTAAGGCATGTTTTGCACCAAAAGCAGTCGAGTAGTCTTTTATTATCTTTAAGGCTTGACGTGGCTGATGGACGTGCTACATAAAAAGATGCCATTAGAGATAAATTAGTGCGCCGGTTTTGCAGTCTTATCGTCATTTACTGCTAATAAAATGCAATACTCACTGTTGTTCAGCGAATGGAGCAGTTATGGAAGTTCATTGAGTTCTTGTTTGATCATGTAGACAATATTTCCTTTAAGATCAGTGACGTGGCCAAATCATAATCATTTTTTCAAGTAATTTTCTGAAAATATGCATTAGCATCCGCCCGCGATTGTCAGAAACTTGCATTTCCTTGACTGAAGAGTCAATTTTACGAATCCTTGTACATCCACATTTCGGCTGATGAACATCAATGGGACATGAACTAAAACAAGGTCCACGAATATAAATTGCTTAACGATTGAGCAATCACAATGAAAACCCCGACCCTGATGCAATCGACATGGGGCTTAATATTGAAAATGTGTTCACATGTCGAGCTAACTTAATTCCAGGCATTTATATTCCGGTTAAATTCGACAATCAATATATATTTGATGCAAGGTAACTAACTACACACGACTGGGCTGGAATAACAAAAAGCCGGAAATCGGGGCAATTAAAACGTGGTAAATTTCCTAAATTTCATGATGATGTATATGTTTTAGCTAAGTTCTATATTGTGGAGGCGGATTCATTTTTTACAAACTTCTTTTTGGGTATTTCGCCTCAAAAATTTTTGTCTTTAAAAGACAGAATTTCCTCACGTCTTTTATTACAGATTGATAAAT